GATACAGACGGACACACAGCGAAGCGTCGGCCGAAACCGCCACTAGAAGCAGACACAGCCACGCGCGGGTAGCGGACACACCTTGAGAGCGAGTTTACGGTAGGCCTTCTTGATCTCGTTCTCCGAGGCATCCTTCTCGATCCCGAGGATCTGGTACAGCTCGGTCGTGTCCACATCCGCAGGGGGACCTCGACGGCCGCCGCCGCCGCCGCCGCCCTCACCTCCGTGTGTGCCGGCAAAGTGCTCGAACGGCGATCCTCCTCCGAAAAACATGGTTGCCCGAAAATAGCAGAGCCTGGCCGGAAGCTACTTTTTCTTGACAACCTTGGGTGCGGATGGATGGAAGAGGATGCGTGGCCAGACGCGCGAAGGTTCTTCTAGAAAAAGGCCGCGAAGCACACCGCCTTCGTCTTGGTCGTGGGCTTGGTAGTGTGGCGCTTTCACGGTGGAAGCGTCGGCGAAGTACCCGTTAAAAGTAAAATACGTATTGAGGTGAGACAAAGATGGCTCGTGCGGGATGGAGAGACGTATCGGCGAAACGTGTCGGCAAGAAGCGAGGGTTTGTGTCAGTACTCTGCGCGTGGCGACGAGAGAGCCTCCCCCTCACCCCAACAACTATGAAATATGTCAAACATGCGGTATGTATCAATCTCATGAGAACAAGTGAATTTCGCGGAGCCCCCGCAGCGAACCCTAACCCTTCACCAAAGGTACTTGTTTGTATATGACAACAATGTTATTGTCACGTTCCATTGCCCTCCACTCCAGCTCCACGGGTGCGCTCCTCTTAAGAGTGTGTAACACATTATCTCGTCGAGTTTCCATCCTTATGAAAAAACAAAGTGGTTCTAGGTCCTAAACTGGGCAACGAATCCATTTCCGGCACGGATGAAAAAAATATATTCTATGTGCCACTTTATTTTTTAGGACCAATTTTCATGCGGCGGACACGCGGACACCACATTGCAGGAAATATCAACTCGGTGCGACTTGTTCACCGCACCAATCGACTCCGCTTGGTCGAATTAGTCTCACGTGCGTTCATTGCCAGGTCGCCCGATGCAAACTGAACGAGGTACAGCTTATTCTTTTCAGCAACATGGGAGGTCGGCGAGATACACGAAAATTGACCAAAAATAATATTTCCGCCGCATTTTTCTAAACTCACCCGCCTCAAGCACCGAGGTCAGCAGTCTTACTTCACCAACCCACACCAAATTGATTCAGATGTGTTAGCCCTCCCTAGGCATGTCATCTACACGCAGAGCTGTTCGTGTCGGGCGTCGATCAGGAGCAAATGTGTTCGCTTCCCACTTTCTTGAAGTGCAGCCAACAGCCAAAGTTCATCCGCGGGGGGTTCGCAGGTGGGATCGGGTGGCTTCTCTTTCACCGCGGCGAAGCGGCGAATTGTTGTTTTGGTTTTTAGAGCATGTCTTATCGGAATCGGAAAAATCTGTTTCCAGGAAATCAAAAATCAAAATTGGGCTCTGATTGGCCAAGAGGCCCGGAAGACGGTGAACGGCGATTTTGAATTATCGAAAAATCTGTATCGCGCCGAAAGTCCCCAAGGACTTTTAGAGCCTGTCTTATCGAAATCGGAAAAATCTGCTTCCAGGAAAAAAAATCAAAATCAAAAACAGATTTTCGCCGGGAGGCGAGCCTGCAGTCTTAACGGGAAAGCGATGGTCACCGAGAAAACGCCTACATGATTGGAAAACTTGGATGGGGTAGGTGCAGATCATCACTCGCGCTGCACGTGCCCCCCAGCCTCGTCTTGCAGCGCGTTGCCGCTACCAAACCACCACCACAGCGGTCCTCCACGGCACGTGTCAAGTTGAGCCACCTGCCATGGCTGTCAGTCCAACCAGAAGGGCCAAGCGTGCCCATGGGCTGGCCTCCTTCACGAAGAGGGTGTCGAGCCTGTTGGATGCACTGGCCATTTTGGACAACCTCGCAGCGCTCGATGCTCCGTCGAAGAGGAGCCGCAGCACCCTGGTCGCGCGAGAGAGGCGGCCTTTCGAGACCTACATCAAGCCGATGCTGCAAGACCACACGTTCTCGATGCGCTTTCGCATGGAGTACGATGACTTCAGGGTTGGTTCTAGTAGATCACCTGCGACCTGCCCTGCAGAAGAACCAGCAGATGGGGCTGCTGCGCAACGGCGCCATCCCGGTGGAGGACCAGGTCGCGATGACGTTGCGATGGCTCGCGGGGGGGTCCATCTACGAGTGCATGGACGGCCATGTCATCGCGAGGAGTACGGCATACCACGTAACGTCGACCGTGATCAACGCCCTGAATGCCTGTCCGGAGTTGAACTGCAAGTGGCCAGAGGGTGAAGATGCTGCCAGAGCCGCCGAGCTTTTCCGCAACCGCAGCTCTATGGATGTCGTCCGGAAGTGCGTGGGAGCAACGGATGGCTTGTTTGTCCGGATGATCAAGCCGAGCGCGAAGGAGGTCGCAGAGCCCAACTTGTATTACAACGGGCACAAGAAAGGCTTCGGCATGAACTTCCAGGTGTGTATGTGCATACATGTGTAGATTGTTTCCTTGGTCGGCGGCCTATCCTGATGCCAGGTGCGTTTTGCCTGCAAAGCAGCGACGGACCTACATATGCTGCGGGGGTAGAACATCGGTTCAGTACAGCAGTAGTATTCATACATTCCTCCGGGTGCGGTTGTGCACGATACAAGCTCAAACGAAGTGTATTTTTCCACTCCCCAACGCACAGGATTCATCCATCAAAGGGTGCGCACTTTGTAGGTAGCAGTGTTGTTGAGGCGCGTCATGGGCGCATATTTTTGTGCGCAGGCTGGAATGGGCCTTAGTGCTACTTTACTACTGCTGTGATGTAAAATTTGTGGAGGCGCGTGCATGCCGTTCTCCGAACTGAGCGGGCATGTGGACGTGGCGTCCTCCTTCGATGGTTCTCTTCGAAAAAAATCGCCTTTGGTTGAGTGTTATTTCACGTACATACATGCTCATGCACACGTTGTCCTTCTACTTCAGGCGGTATGCGACGCCCAGTATCGCATCATGGCCTGGATGATGAATTGCCCAGGCAGCCAAAACGACCGCACCGCGTTCAACTTTTCGGGGTTCGACAAGCTCTTGGCGGGCTTGCCCGAAGGCCACTTTGTCGTGGGCGACGCCGCCTATGGGGCGTCCGAGCGCGTCGTCGTCCCGTTCCCGGGGACGAGCCTCTCCGCAAGCCAAGACGCGTGCAACTACTACGTGTCTCAGTGCCGGATGGCAATCGAGCAGACCTACGGCATTCTGGTGAGCGTTGTGGGCATGGCAAAAGTTGTAGTTGAGTCCGCGCATGCAATTGGGTGAGTTGGCGTCCTGATGTTAGAGGCAACTCGTGGTAAAGATCCTCGCGATGGGGGAGTGCGTGATGTCTGGTGTGATGTTGTCACAGAGCGCGGCGCATCCGTGCCACCATCTTTTCATTTTGATGTGGGCAATGCATATTCATGTTTGAAGGGAGCAACCGGGGAAGTGCATATGGACCCTACAGCAGTACTACATGTAGCGTCTTTTTTGTTATACCCCTTGTGTGCATATTGTTTTGTGTTCGACCCTCCTTCCTTCGCGCGGCGATAGACGGCTAGGGAGAGACTGAAATCAGGTAGGACAGGTGCACACGTGCATTGCTGCTGGGATAGTTGAACCGGGAGGGTGGGACAAGGAGGCAGGCCGCCTGAATTTTGGATTTGGGCTCTGAGTTTGCCATGATGGTACGTTTTTCCCCTTTGGTCTTGGTTTGCAATGACGGCCTACAGGTCAGGAGATGGGGCATCCTCTGGCGCCCCATGGAGGTTCGCATCGAGAAGTTCGAGCACGTGGTGAACGCCGTCGTTCGCCTGCACAACTTCTGTCGGGATCGAAAGGTGGACGTCCCCACGGAGAACACGGGGTCTGCGATTCCTCCGCCCGAGGTCGCTTTTGACGACGACGGCCTCATCAGCAGCGACTACTTCGAGACCGTTCCAGTGCGTACCGGGCGCCCGGTGAAGGACCAGGCTAAGGCGTCGAAGCCGAGGGAGGCCATCCGCAAGGAGCTGGAGGTGGCCGGCTTGATGAGGCCAGAGCACAACATCGCCAGGAGCCACAAACGCGCAAGTTAGAGTGCTGTCGGAACCTTAAACTTGGCAGAGAGGGAGGGGAGGTCGAGGGCGAGAGCGGGAGTGGGGGGCAAGAGCGGGGTCGGAACCGGCGGCCGACGTGGGGTGTGTGTATCGCGGGGATCGGGGTGAGGGTCATGTGCGGTGGTGTCTGTGTGTTGTGTTGTGTTTTGTTGTGTTGTGCATGTGTGTTTTTCCCCGTGGTTTGAAGGCGGCATTGTTTGGTGGGCGTTTGTTCGTCTTGCGTTTCTTTTTTTTTCTACGTGCTGGGTTAGGATCCGACTAACACGTCCTCCCGCCATCGAAGGTGTTTTTTGTCGAAGCGGTCTACCTCGTATTCGCGGCCCATTATTGTAGTGTCTTTGGGCGTTCGACGTGGGACTACCTAGCTGTCACCGTACACTGTTTCCTCGCCAAGGTTCGCTTCTGATTGAAACTGCCTTTTGGGAAGTATACGTGATTGTGGAACTGTGGATCGGGGCCAACGTGCCGTTGAATTAGCTGGCGCTTGTTTTATTGAGGATGATGTTGCCTAAGAGAGACCGTTTGAGGACGACCGTAACAGCACTATTGGTGATTTACGAGCGTGAGCGACAAGCTCTAAAGCTCTCCCGGAGGGGGGTTCGGTCCTCGCGCACGCCCCCATGTGGTTGCATCTGTGTAACCACGCCACTCCTGCCCTTGCCCTGGTGCATTCCTCGCACAGCAGTAGTAGGCGATCAGAGTCGGCTTAGACAACGGTACAAGCAATCCCACGGAAAAAGCTGCTTCCCCAACAAACCGGGCAACCTCCAACAGAGCCGCACTGTCCCACTTCCATGCTATTCTCGGACATCAAATATCTCCGGTGTCTGTAAAAAAAAACACACACACACACACACGCTAAGAAGAGTAGCCTCTCACAGGACCTTTCCACCCAGCAGAGCACAAGCAAGGTCTCGGTGATAATATGATCCTCTAGGACGGAACTGCTGTCATTTTGACGCATCCGTCATTCCAAAACATGTCACAATGTTAAACGTCTGGAAATGATAAGAGGATCCGCAGAACCTTGAACCAAACATGAGAACAACTAAACAAATGTCCTCCTTCGAGGGAAAACCCGACGTGCGTGAAAGCATCGCAATGCCCTGTCATAATACTGTAGCTCCACTTCTTGCTGCTGTTTAGCCAAATCTGAAGGAGTCGGAGGGAGTTACAATATTTCCGGAAACACTCCGAATATTTCATCACGTGTGCGATATCTTCGCCAAAAGGGGGAAGGAGTCTCGTCGCTTGCCGCGTGAAGAATCGTTGCACCTCACACTCATAAAAAAAACATGCATCACCTCCCAATGCCATGGTTGACAGGAGTACGCGGACCTTATGAAATCAATCTGAACAAAATCATATGTGGTTGTCCGACGAGCCATGTGGGTTGTTCAACACTTGGCGAGGTCAACAGCAGTCACAAAAAGGCCTCTTTTTTCGTGCCCACGTACAGCAGTAGTTTCCACCCACCCCAGAATCAGCAAAAAAAAAAATCGGTTGGGAAAGCCAAGTCCTTGATTCCCCCGGGAAGCAACTATTTAAGTGGGAACAACCTACTGTATCAAGTAGCTACGGAGCAACTTCCAAGCGAAGTGACTCTTCGCCATGTCCGGGCAGGTATTGCCCCCCCAAGATTTCTTGCTCTGGTGCATCCCTCTCCACAAATAGAAAATGAGTAGATAATGAAAAATAACTGGTGTTGGCGCGTGGTGTTGCGTTTACTGAACGGTTCAGCCCCGCGCAACCCCCATGCCGGCAAACGCCTTTGCGTAGAACACAGATCAAAGACTCCCCCCACGTTTGAAACTTCAAAAACACAGCATCCCTCACGGCTCGGGGAGCATTCAACATGTGCGCTTACATTCTGTTCTCGTCCTGCTGTTGCCGCTCACTCCGAAACACACACGCCCCACTGCCCCTGCGCCCCCGTGTGGACTGTTACGGCAACACCCGCGCAGTCGCCCGCAGGTTTCCAGCCAGGGTGCTCCCACCAAAGACTGTATCCCCCCACCATCCATCCCCGCCTCTCGCCCGCGCAACCAGTACTCAAGCCCCACCCCCGTCGCCTGTACGCGCCAAGGCCCGTGCCATCGCCGGCAAATCATCCACGGGCGTGCGCCCCGGAAGCCCATGGAGATCCTACATCACATGGACCGTTCCTCCTTCGACCGCTGCAGGCGTAGATGGCGCAGCAGGACTCGATAACGGTGGGGGCGCGGCCGCGGCGCTCGATGATGCCATAGCCGCCTCGTCGCTGCTCTGCTCAGCCCGTGCCACTCGCGCTTCAGCGGCATCCAACAATTTCTGATATTTCTCCCGCAAAAAGTCCGATGATGCAGAATCGACCTTTGCTTGGAGCCTCTGAACATCGTCGATGAATCCCTCCATGGCAAGGTCCTTCGCTCGGTCCTTCTCTATATCACCGAAAGCAGGTTTGTCTCCCCGTACTTCCTGCTCCGCTGCTTTGCGCCACAAGGCGATCACTTCCTTCGTGTCGGCTACCAGCTCCGCCCTGTCATCGGAACCCGTCTTGGGTTTCTTGTGCTTCCGAGAGTTGGTGTTGCCAGAGGAACGGGCGGGTGTCGCCTCACCTCTCCCTCGGACCCCGGGTCCACCCGGCACGCTGCTGCCTGAGCCTGGGTGTCCATCGGGGAGGACGATATCGCCGGGGCGGTATGTCTCGTCGTCGCCTCCGCCGGAGAGCTCGATACCGTCCTCCCAGAGCATTGTCGGTAAAGAGCCCCGCATAAACTGGAACGGATGACGGGCGTTGACGAATCCCCCGTCCTGAGTTGCGTCCGCACCGGCCCCACCACTTCTTTGCTCGTTCTCCTTGAATTTCTGATGTGCCAAGGAGAGAGCGAAGAAACGGTCCACGTTCGTCGGAAATGGGATGGGAACAAAGCCTTGAGTCTTGAGTGGTGAAATCTGATGTCGCTAACAATCTTTTCTGCATTCCACGTGGTACTTGTGTTGGGGCGTCAACGGAAAAAGGGAACGACATACACACAATGGCGCAAGGCAGGACGGGAAAAAAACTTGTTTCACCCAAAAAAACTTGGGGGAGAAGCGCACCCCACGATGATACTGTAGGTTGAGGTCGCGAGGGCCCACAGCTTAAACCCAACACAAGAAGAAATACACACACAAAACGAAGGATGCTCATCACTGGAATATAAAGGCAACCCGTCTACAGTGATGGTTACATCGACCTCACACCTCGCCAAATTTCTAGCTTGACTGCTGATGCACGCACAGATATCCCAAGACGAGCACTGCAGACCGACAAAATACGAAGACGTCCTGCATCCTGTTCCTGCATCCTGTGTAGCCACGGCAGGACGACGCTGCCACCTGCAGAATGAACACGAGAACACCGCTACACTCACCGTGTGCTTGCCCCGTACTTCTTTCAGCCAATTGAAACATCTCAGTTGGAGATCAGCATAAAAGGCGCCCTCATCGCCTTTGAATTTCCCCCTGAGTTCCTCCTGCAGCGACTTAGCCGCCCCCTCTAGGTCCAGCCGCTTGAGGAGAGACTTCAGATGCTCCGATGCGAGCTCGTCTTTGGAGTGATCGTTGGGTACTGAGAGGGGGTTACCGTTGCCGTCGCGCCAGGTGGGAGTCGCCATCGCCCTGGCAACCCGGGCGAAAAACCTGTGCTTCGCGCCCGTCGCCCGTACGTCCAGTTCGGTGCGCGCTGTGCCCTCCCCACCCCCCCTGAAGCACATGTAGTCGTCCTTGAACTCCGGGTGCAAAGTTAGGCACACCAGCCGACAGCATAGTGCCTGGGACGAGTTAGGTGTCGGCTGACCAGTTTGTCGACTACGCCGCAGCTGCTTCTTCTTCTCCGGCGTAACGCCGCAGCGGATGCCTTTCCACTCAGGCTCTACACCAAGACTTGCGCGCCACTTCATGCGACCCGTCAGTGCGTCGATCAACTCCTGTTTGCTTGCATTCGAAATTTGTCGAAGCTCTTGTTCAGGCAGTGGACCAAACTTCAACGCATTCCTCCGGCCAGCCTCCCGCGTGGCCTCCTGCCTCAAACTAGGGAGGGGCCAGCAGTCGAACAAAGGTGGCTCTGTACGAACCTCCTTTCCCGCGGTCGCTGTTGTATCACGAGTTGGGGATGCACGTTGCTCGTTCCCACTACTGGGCCCTTGAGGCGGGGCTGCGCCAGGCGTGGTGGAAGCCGTCGGCCTGATCGTCGCAGCCGATGGCGCTGCCGACGGCGCAGCCGACGGAACAGGTGGTGATGTACTTGCCGGGGTTCCACCGCTGTGCCCTCCAAGTGAGGATTACCTAGAACCAGGCGTAGAGGACGATGACAGCGGATCTGGGGGTGGGTACACGGGTGCCGCCGCCACCGTAGTAGACAGCGGAGGCGGGGGTATAGCCCCTCGCCCTTGGAGTAGAGAAGGCGGAGGGGGAGGAGACATGGAGCCAGCCGTCACCTAGACGTGTTCAGAGTATAAGGAAAGTGAAGAGGCACGGGAAGGCGACATGTCATGGTTATCCCGTGGCGCGACAAAAACGGCCTCCAATGTTGGCTCCTCGTGAGGGTTTCATGGTAATTGGCCTTTCATTCATGTACGGGCGTGCTACCCCCCAAACACCGCCTTTTTATCCATTGCGGCGCCAACCGTTCGAAATCAACAGATGGTCGATTTCATCATGTCCATCACAAATGCGAAACAAAACACGCTGCTCCCGCCACCACCACCACCACCGACGCAAGTAACATCAAAACGCCCGCGGCAGCAGCAGCCGCGCCATGAACAACACCAGAAACGTTTGGAGGACTGCGATATCCTGTTTTGTTCCCATCCTTTCTAAGAGTCGACGCGCATGTTGATTGACTTTCCTACGAGAGGTCGACTTCCAACGATGCGCCATGTGGAAACTGGTTGTGGGTACAGGCGGAGTCTCGTGGCCGTGGACGATACTGTAGAGGGCGAAAAATACCGTGTCGCATTATGTTTTGATCATAGTTTTTTGTATCGCGTCACGGAACGTGTCCACATACTGTACAGGGGGAATATGCACACCCCGCGCCCAACGATAGCGCCTGCCGTACCCGCGCGTAACCCTACCCCCCCAAAAAAATACGGCGTGAGCTGTGGTTCCCGGCTAGCGGCAAGCGTTTCTTGCCGCTGGTGTCCTCTATCTAGCTACAGGTACTTCTGCCCTCCTACTATCCTCTCACCTGCCCTGAAAGTGCATCCAGCACGCCATCATGCTGTCCACCCGCGTCTGGAGAACACCCATCGCCATCCTCTCCACCCACTTCTACAAGCATAGGATCCTCCACTTTTCGATCCTCCTGCACGATACCACAAAAGCAACCGTGGTCGCGGCGGTGCAAGACGAGAGGTGCCAGACTAGACGCAAGTACGTGTTGCCGCGCCAAAACAACAAAGAAACCAAAGAGAAAGCATGCGTTCATGAACAACAAACCTACAGCAGCAGCACTTGTAGTCTAGCTATGCCAGGTGGAGTTCATGAAAAATCCGATCTCGAGAGCCTAGCAAACGCAAACCTTGTTTTGTATCTGTACAGCCCTTGTTTAGACTGCTGTTGTTGGTCCTCCTCGTAAACCAGCACAACTTGCGTGTGGGGCACTGATACGGAGCGATAGCACCCCCAAAGAACTGCCCACCTGCACCATGTGGCCACCATGCTACGCACTAGAGCAAGCATTCTCGAATGGAGTGCTGCTTGCTGCTGCTGCTGCTGCTGCTGCCGTGTAGACGGACTACATGTCCTGCTCTGTACTCCACTATTAATAATGCGGTAGAGAAAAGGTGCCCGCAGTTTTCTGATTGGCCAATTTTTTTGACAGGAAATTTCCTTTGGTCGAAAATTCCATGGTCGTCCGATGACGTCATCCACGGTGGAGAAGTCAAATTGGTTCCCTGAGAATCAAAATTTGAATTTGACAATTTGACCGTGTGTGACACATTGATGGCTTCATGACCTCAGGCGTACTCTGTGGAATCGACCACCCACAGGTGCCACAAATGTACCGAACCACACACTCACTCGACCAGCCTCCATCAACAAACCCGTAGCAGTAGTTAGTTTGGTTTCGGGCGATGGCACGGTCGTCTTCGAATACGACTGTGCCATCACAACCTTCCACCACCAGCAGCAGCCACCGGTGGTGCTACGTGAAGCAGACCAAGTTGTCCGTACAACCGCGAGTGTGGAGAAAGTGGGTCTCAATAATTGGTTCTGAAAGGGTAGAAGGCTCTTTCTCCCACACGAGTGGTCAAAACCCGCACGCAGCGCATCAAGGGGGAGGCGTTTAGACAGGGTTCACCCGAACCAAAAACCGAACCCTTTTGAACCTCCTCTCTCTCCAAATTCAAAATTCAATTTGTACAAATTGGCTCCCCCTCATAACTCGAAGGGAATTGCCAACACGCGTCGACGCATCCTCGACGAAGCACCAGGGGTTAAGTATTGCGATGATTGGAGCGATTTCTGGGTCTTATTGTGTCTCTTCTTCGTAGCCACGTCAAGTCGCCAACAATACTCTAGGTCGTATGCTATGCATAGCCGTTAGCTTTTTGGCCTCCCCAAATTCAAACCGAGGTATGCATACACGGCGGTAGCAGAAGACATGGTCGCCATTGTCGCTTGGTGGAGACGAGAGAAGAGCCTCCCCACGTGCCCCGACGTGTGCATATGCCTCTCTCCCTTTCTCACGAACGGCCCGTGACCTACATGTAGCGTGTGCTTGCCGCATCAGCATCCTCCTCGGAAAATTAGATACATATAGACTATACAAGCCTCCAATATACCCCCTCGTTGACACGTACTGCTGCTGCTGACATGTACTGCTGCTGGAAAGGTGGCGGGGTTTACATGCAACATGCCCACTTAAAAGGGAATGAACAGAGAGTCACCAAGCAACGTGACTCAAGCTTCGAGCGTCAGCGTCAGACACAGGCTGTAGTAGTGTGGTTGAAAACGCCGACCCTCATACGCATCGACACTCGACCCAACCTCTGCACTTCATTGTTCGCGTGGTCGTTGGTGGACGAACCTTACAGGAAGATGCCGAGAGTTTCCAAGACCAAGCTAGCGGAGTCCGCCAAGAACACACCAGGAATTTCCACTTTGTTCAAGGTGCCTACTACATGTATCTGGAAGAAGAGGATACACGCATACATAGCACAGCCCGTGTTACTTTGTACACAAACAAGTCGATGCCCCCCGCCCCCCCCGTTGCACCACATCCCCAGCACTATCCACTTGATCCGCATAGAAGGTAACACAGCAGTGCGCCTTTCGGACGCTGTCACCACCATCCAGCCTTCCGCTTATTAATGACGCCATCCAGCAACACCCGAAGCTCCCTTATTACTACTGATGTTTGTTTGTTCGATTCACTTCCCACGGGGTCGTCTTGGCGCACCCACGTTACACGTTCCAGAGCGTGAGCCCTCCTCCTGCTGCGCAAACACCGAGCGCGTTGGGTCCACGACGGGTGAGCCCGGCGGGGTCTGCAGCGGCTTTATCGAGCGAGGTGAATACTGATCGTATTGCTGCCGTCTCTGCAAATCGGCAGCCGCCTTTCCGAGCAGCACACGACTTATATACATACAGAAATATTTTCCACCCATTCACTGACGAACGAAATCGTTGGTATTAGTCGGAACGCCTCTTTTGTTCGGCTCCCCTCTGCGATAGTTTCAAGCGCAAGCAAGCCCCCCCCCCCTGGTCTCACTCCATTCCCTTCCAAACCGAGCCAACGATGACCACTTCAAACAGCATCAAGTTTGTAGAGAAGGCAAGTATGTACTTATATGTGTTGCCTTACATGGTCGATGAATGTCGTACACGCCACCGAGGCCGTGTGTCACCCACCTGCTTGTGTGCGTTTCCCTCTGTGCCATGTTTCAGATTCAAGGCTTTCTACAGCAAGTTCATTCGTCAAATTAGTTCCTCCTGGGATTTCGAATTTAGGAGATGGTTGTGTCGTGTACCATGCTCCCAATTCCTGTCTTTTGCGGTGAAGATGGCAAACACAAATACACCACGTTCTACGCTCGCTGAAAAGAGGGAGTAAATTGAGACAACCAACCGTAAAGATGCAGACGAACACGAAAGTGATACCCACAAGCCGCCTCTTCCGCGCCCTGCTGTCGACGGCGTTTTGCCTTTCTTGATTTCACGCGTGCAGCAGTCCAGAAAACGTGGTCGCGACGACGAGGGCAACGGGATACTGGGCTTCCTCCAGGACTCAGCGCTTATCGAGGTGGTGGATGACTCCGATCTTGAAGAAGATGTGGCACCCTTGAAAGTGAGTGAATTGAAAGGGATGATCTGCCCCCCCGCCCCCACCGGCGACGCCGATGATAACTGTTTTCGCTCGACGGCTCTACCAAGATATTGTGTGGCGAATTAATGCATTGACCAGCAAGATATATCAGCATTGTGCATCGTTTTGGATAACATCACCGCTTCCCCTCCTTCGTTTTCCGACGTGCCGCAGTGGGAAGCCACGATATTCTCTACCTCTCGCATCTCGACCTCTGACACGTCCTTCGTGGCGGACCTGCCACGAAGGCCGGGTCATGTCGCGGTGAGGAGCGCATCGAAGAAGGGCAAGGGGGACCTGGTCATGGTCATCACGGAGGCCCACTACCACCACGCCGTCGAGTTGTACCTCGGGCCCTACGGTCTCGCGGCGACAGACGGCATCGAGAGCGACCCTCACGAAGGTGTCCTTACCGGTCGGAAAGGCCGACCCAGCTTTCACTACGCCAGTACCGACGACGCCATCAGGGCCATCCTCGAGACGAAGCAGCCCTACGTCGACGCGCTGCACAAGTTCCTTGCACTCTCCAGCTTTCTTCACTGGCAGACTACAGAAAGGCAGGCGAACGTGGACGCCAAGATGGAGGCCACGTTTACCGAGGCTGAACTCTCCAAGCACTCGTCGCTCTTCGTCGACAAGAAGGGCAACGCGCTGCCCAAGATCGGAGTCAGGGTGGCGCACGACATCGGAGGCGGGGCGAACGTAGATTACAGTACTAGAGGATTTGAGTCGGACCCCAAGAGTTTGTTGACTTTCGGCGGAGGTACTATCGGTGGAGCGCAAAATGGGGCGCGCAAACTAGTTGCGCTCGACTCGGAGGAAGACTTCCGACTGAAGACTCCCGGGGTGGCCGCTACCACGGTGGACCACACTACGATGTTCCTCCGCCTCAACGATGCGGCGGTGTTTGCCGCCCGAAGGTCAGAAGCCCCTTGGGTTTTTTCGCTGTGCAAAGAGTGACCTGTCCCCAAATGTATTTAGGAGGTTTGGTTTAATCCCACTCATGTCGACGCTTGCGTGCAACAGGAACAGCGGGCACTCCAACCCCCGGTCTAAACTGCTCCGACACTACTTTTTGTTTTAATATTCTTTCTTGCGGCGCTTCAGTGAAACGTTGTTCGACAAGGGGTCCTGGCTGAACAAGAACGTGGTCGGACTGGCCTGGGTACGACGCCGCGGGCTGTCGCTCGTACGGACCAGGGAGGGGACGACACGTGGCGGGGAGCCCTGGGTGTATCTTGTCACCGTCATCGACAACTGGGAGCATTGTTGGTCAGGACCGGGTTTCCTTCTGTTCGTGACGCAACAGGGATGCTTCTCAGGCTACAAGAACCTCAAGGAGCACGACAAGGAGGGCGCCCGCCAAATGGAAGTCGGCCGGTCAGGCGACTTCTCGACCCCCGCTGCAAAGGGTGAGTAGTGTTGTTGTTGTGGTTGTCTGGTATTATTGTTTGTTGGTGGTGGTGCCGTTGTTGTTGTTCGCATTTTGTTGCTGGCGATTGACGACCACTTTCCTCGTGTGCCCCGCACCCCATGTACTCAAAGCATCTCCGCCCCGAGCTCAGTAGAATGCGTCGATAGCGTGGCGTGCGATGGACCATGTTGTTCTTGGGTGTTGCTTCTTTTTTCTCTCATCATTCGCTATTACCACAGAGGCATTGTCACGAAAAAGAAAAACACCACCTCCTTTTGCGTGCATTGGGGCAGCACTTCGCGTCCAGGTCGATCGCTCGTGTTTCTTTGATGTGTAGTCACTTTTCGTGTGCCTGCGTTTTGTGTATATGATCCCAGGCTTACATGTATATCCATTTATTTCTTCTCGTCGGATGTTATCGTCAACGCGTGACAAAAAAACCCTGTCGTTCCCGTTTCGTCCCATGTGAATAGCCCCCGTTTTTCGTCCTCTGTTTTCTGGATGCATAATACCTCATTGAAATCCTCATCATTCGCTATTACCAATGAATTCTCTCGATCCCCTCCCTCGCGCCTACTTACTCGTTCTTTCGTTTTCCCGACATCACCCATCGTTGTCTCGACTTGGTGGTGGACGCATAGGCAAGATCGGAGGTACGTCATTCCTTGATCGTTGTTGTTGTTGTTGCTGCTGCTGCTGCTGCTGCTGTTATTGTTATTGCGTCGAACGCGCCCACTCAGCTGCTACGAAGGAGTGCGTCCGAAAGTTCGTGTGCGTTTGAAAATTCCACAGAGGCATTGTCACGAAAAAGAAAAACACCACCTCCTTTTGCGTGCATTGGGGCAGCACTTCGCGTCCAGGTCGATCGCTCGTGTTTCTTTGATGTGTAGTCACTTTTCGTGTGCCTGCGTTTTGTGTATATGATCCCAGGCTTACATGTATATCCATTTATTTCTTCTCGTCGGATGTTATCGTCAACGCGTGACAAAAAGGTGCGGCCTTGGGAACAGGGGCGAACCAGGTGGGCAGCGCCCCCAGCAACGGTGCGGCAGCGAAAGTACGCAAGCCCATCCCCGGCCAACGCAACCCCGTGAAAGAGTATGGCTTTTGCTTCGGCTTCGGGGCGGATGGCGTTGGCCTCGACCAGAAGCTGCACGACAAGTTTGCCGGCGAAAACGGGTTTGGGGACGGGCCAATTACGGAGGGCGGGTGCGAGATCCCAAACTTCAGCGAGGCGGGGGTGACAAAGGGCGAATCAACGTGGCAGCTCGATGAGCACGACTACCTCATCCTCCCCGTCCACAGCGGCAACAAAACTGAGGGTCACCCAGCGTGCACAATCGGCGGTTGTGTCCCGGTGGAGAAGGTGAACGAGTCATGGCGACTGTGCCACTGGGCGCTGAAGTACATCCTCAATAGGAGGATCGTGTCCAAGGTGACGCAGAACGCACGCCACAACGGCGCTGGCGAAAAGAGCCGCGCCAAGGGGAGGAAGGAGTGATAGGGTTCTCGTTTCCACCATGTAGATAGCGCTCCTCACAGATGAAGTCTGGAGGGGAGAAATATCGAGAATATCGGCACATGGCCCCGATTGGATCGATCGGTGGCAAGCATACTTAGCACCCTACGCCCAGGTCGAATCACCGACACTTGAATCCGGTTATCTACCGTCTAGTAGAACACGAGAGATGTGTGGCGTTTTTTACGTTTCCCGTTACCATGTAGTAGATTTCAGGTAGATTCAGTGTTTGTGTCCTCAATGGGGAATGGTTTGAAGGTTGATTCAACGTCCACCACCCGATTGAATGTGATTTGTCTTGGATCATTGGTGATTCTACGGTTGGATTTCGACCATTTCGATTGACACGCGATCGGTAGCCGTCGAACAAAAAATGTTGTTCGGCGTGTTCGACATGTAGGTTTATCGTGTATGCGGGGGGGAACAATGAAACATTAGGGGATCAAAATACCACGACCTTTTTGGCTTTGATTGGATCAAAGGCAATCATGGTACCAACATTCCCTCTCCGTGTTGCCCGGTCCGCACAACAACACAACCGTAGAACGGGATGGGAGATTATTTGGCGGTGCGTACTCGCTGGGCCGAGTATACATGTATGTATCATTAGCGGGTCGTGTGAGCCCTTTTGAATTTTGTCGTTTGTGGACATTTACCGATGTTGACGCGTACTTCGGACGTGTGCGTGTTGTGACGTTGAGAAGGCAAGAAGTTGCATATGTATACTCATGGAAACGTTGCAAAAACGGCTCGAGATGGCTGGCGCGACGGAGCAATGAGCAGACTTGCACAACCAACTACAATTATTTTGCCTCGTGTTTTTGTCGTTTTGTTCCTGTGCTCGACTGTGTCTTCAATTTACCTCATGAGGGACATTTTTTACGACCACCCACCGTACTTTAGATGGTCAATGGCTACCCGTGGGCTGTTTAGGGTTCGTGCATGCGAATCGATGTTGTTTTGTCAATGGGCCCTGTGTTAGGGTGCTCTGGTGTGTTACAGTTCGACCCAGTCATCAAATGTATGTTCAAATGAGCCGGGTCGACGGAGCGATTGTGATTGTTTTGTTCGAAACTTTGATTTGGTATTATTTGTATTATTAGATAGAAGAACATTTGATGTCCACCGCAAGTGGTGTTGTGGGTTCATACATGGAAGTCAAAACGAGCTCTGACTTGTACGAAGAATGGCTCTTCGGTGGCGTTGAAGTGATGGGGAATGGAAAGAGACCACCCGCAGGCTTCCTGCATAGATTAGCTTGAGTCGTGCCAACTGAAGTTTTTTCGTCTCCCTTTATCATTTATGAGTCCGATACATATATATATTTTTGGTCGGCAGATTCAGCGTGTATATTCTCACTCGGAGGTGGTTTTGAAGGTGATTAGTCGGCGGTTATTCGTGACTTTACTGTGGGATTTCGACCACTCATTGTATGCGGAATGTTTTGGAGTACAAAAAGCGTTGTGTGTTCGTTGATACATGATGGTCAAGATGAACGAGTGCCTGGGGTTTTAGTCGGGAACACAGTTCTCTTGCGACTTGATTGTATCATTGTACTGTGTGTGGATATTGTGCGATCGTGCGCATTTTTTTCCTCTATCTGGGCCACCAAAGGTGATCAATTAGGAGCCTTCGGGTTTAGAGTTCACTGTGTTGACCGTGTTGCCTACGCAGGCGCCAGCATGGAGTAGACAACGGAGTGCTTCCCCCAACTGGGAAAACGAAACGTGGGTGTTTACGCTATCAAGGGCAAAAATGAATATTGTGTTTGGGCGGTTGGCCAAGGGCCGGATGACGATAAGACGTCTGGAGCAAGGGTTCAAAATGTTCAAAATGTCCAATGCCTGTGATCGTCTTCCTTGATCCCTTTCACTCTCACAACCGAGCACTTCCGGCTTAGGGCAGGAGAACTCCGACCACCACGTGCAACTTTGACCCAATCACTCAATTCCAGCTCGTGCCCCGTGAACACTTCATGACTAACTGCCCCATGCAGGGTCCTCAAATCACTGAATACATGACCGCCCTGGCAGACATCCGGAAGCAGCTTTCTGGCATACAAATTTGCTGATTTACTGTATCGATGATTGACCTCGGCAGGGGTGAGATTGAACGTTTCCTTCATGCCACGTAATTTGTTTACTCCCTCTACGAAGTTTTCGTATTCGCATAACAATGGTACCCGGCAGGTGGTTCCTTTCGGGTGTCCCTCAACACCACCCAGCTTGATATCTACTTCGTGGGTGCCATGACAACTGGGCGAAAATTGAACAGCACTACCAACAAGCTCAGGCAGCCCCAACCCCGAAGCAAACGACAAAGCGCACGCTAATTCGAAGTAATGTGCTCTGGGGTATCTGATGATTGCTCCCATGAGATCGATGAGCTTGCTTGCGTTCACTACTTTGATACCCTCGTCGCACTTCGCTTCCAAAGCCTCTCTGCGTCTTTTCCTTGGAAGGCTCTTTTCTTCCGGTGTGAGTTCCAGCTTGGAAACGTAAGGTGGAAGTATATTTACCTTCCGTAGGAGCGCGTCGATATCAACAAGCCCAGTGAAGGACTCTTTCCGGGAATGAATGGAGTTTCGCGTTGCCCATTTGCCGAACAAATCCAACTTATAAAACGAAACGATGCGTCGCTCGGCTATTTTTAGTTGTTTCGAGCTGTACTTCTTCCTTGAATCACTTGAGGTTTTCTTGGCCAGGGACGACCCCTTCCTCTGTATGACTTTGAGTATGCGTTTGAGGTCCTTCCTGATAGCGCCGTCGTTGTGGCTGGGACCGTATACTTGCATCCATTCTCGCCTGACTCGCCTGACGTTTTTGCTGAGAGAGCCTGGATGCAGGCTTCTCAAGACATCAAGAACTTGTACTGGGTCTTTGTTTTCCTCCAGCCGACTCGCACACCGTGAAATAAGATTGTTCATGATTTGATAGTTGGTTACACACACCACATATATTATTTCTTGGGGTTCTGGGCATTAAAGCTACGTGTCGATCACGGCACAATCAACTTGTCTTCCTCTTCTTTGACTTCCCCCTCCCCAGACTTCCTCTGGCTCGGTTGCACTTCAAGCACTTCACGTCCACATTACCGATCGTGTGAGGCAAAGCGCAGTCAAGACGGTCTAGAGTCGGCTGGCGTTCGCTGTAAACGGCCCAGACCAGTTCATGGTGACAAAAGTTGCACGTCCCCCGATAGGCGCGGTGTAGTTCTTGGGCGAGAGCTTCTCTATGCTGTTCCCCCTCATCAGATCCAAGACGCCCGGACGCAATGTCGGCGTAGATATAACTGGAAACCTTCCTAGAAACCCACGAAGCCCTCTCTCGGTCGGACATGTTGCTATCGCGGCGGTGAGCATCGTCGATGACCCTGACGTTCGACGGTCCGGTCGCTCGACTGACCGCCGTGTAAAGCCAGTGCACGTCAGCGTGACGGTGTCGAGCCTGGTGTATGATCAGCCTCCCTTCCACCGTACGGCCTTGGACGGCGTGTACCGTGCATGATCCCGGGGGGTCGAACAAGTTTTCTGCCACCGCTCTACAAAGTGACGTCTCCTCCAGACTGACGGCACAGTCAAATGCGCTCGCGACAACGATCTCATCTGCTGAGGATCGAACGATGTTGTAGGTGTGATTCTTGTGAATCTTCCATCATCCGGTACGACACGGCAGTGGCGAAGATCCGCCGTGACCCTGTCCACACGGAGAAGGTGTACACGCTCTTCGACAAGAACGGCCAACCTTTCGAGCGCAAAGGAAACTACAGCATTGTGGGCAACGGGTACAACAAGGTGAGGGCGGTTTGCAAATTCTGGGATTGTCCGGCTCGTGCCATTCCAGTGTGGTGTGGGCATGCTTCACAATTGCGATTTGTATGGACCGTCTGCTTATTAATCTTTGGAGCAAGTTTGGCACTCCCAGTGTGTGTGTTGATTTACAACACATGGCTTCTTGAAGATAGCACGTCAATGCCTCAGAGGAGCCTCCGTGTGCCCCCCCCTCCCTCGTATGGGTGGAGCCTTCTTCTCTTTTTTGTTCAAGGGTTTACTCGGTAAATACCGCCAGTAGGCGTATGGGCCCTCCCATCGCGAAGAAAAGTCGGAAAAAAAACATTTGGGTGCAAAAGGTTTTTTGCTGCAAGAGACATCAATTTCAGCGTCGACCATCTTTCGGGGGGTGCCTCAATCGCAACAGGTCTGTCACGGAGTAGCCCGAGCTTCGTTTGAGAAATTTTCGACATGATTTTCCGCCGTTAGCTTTTAACCCTTGCGGGGAAGAAGGCACCGCGAAACGTCACATAAAAAAACAAAAGATGAAAGGAAGCTCAGGCTACTCCGCCACCGACCTGTTGCTACCGAGGCACCCCCGAGAACCGACGCCCTACACACCACCACCACCACAGGGAGTGCAAACACGACCATCAACTTTGGTGTTGAAATATCAGCGGCTGTCCCCCTGGTGCTATTTTCCTTTCTGCTCGGGTATACAGCGTGGTAGACCCCACCTCTGGAGTGGGACGGTTAAAGTTAGGGTATCATCACGGTTTGGTCAACCGCTGTTTTCCGGACATAGCAGCAACACCCGTCCGACTTAGGTCGCCCCGAGTCGTCCTTGCGAATGGCTACTGTAGCTTGTATTCTGATGTTTTCTGTTGTCGAAGGGGTCAAAGGTTTTGGTAAGAGCACCCCCAACCGTTCCGTCGAGAACCGTGCGTGTGTCTCCTATGGTCTTGAAAGTGCCGGTGCTGGTATATGTCTGTGAATATTGCCTCCCCCCCCTGTGTTTACCATCGGGGTTGGGTTTTCGTCGCTTGGCAACGACGTTGTAAAACAAGCCGCCCCCCCCGGTGTT